GGGAGGGAGAGATAGAAAGAGAAAGAGAGAAAGGAGGGGGGAGATAGGGAGGGAGAGATAGAAAGAGAAAGAAAGAGGGGAGGAGAGAGAGAGAGGAGGGGAGGGGGAGATAGAGAGAAAAAGGGGGGGAGAGGGGGGAGATAGATACAGAGGGAAGAAGAGATAGAAAGAGAGAAAAGAGAAAGGATCAAGGGCACTGGCAGGGCACATACAGTGACCTGAGGATGGAGGGGTCAGACTCAGGATTGGGATCAACTGAATACATGTGCGACTCTGCCCACCGCAGAGGCCGAACGTCGGGAGCTCGAGCAAGAAGCCAAAGAACTGAAAAAAGTGATGGACCTGAGCATTGTCCGGCTTCGTTTCTCTGCCTTCCTCAGGGACAGCGATGGCTCCTTCTCCCTCCCCCTCTCACCTGTCATCTCCCAGCCCATCCATGATAGCAGTGAGTGACCAGAGCAGAGTTAAAGGGGGAACAGGGGACGTGGAGCAGAGACCAGGGGCCGAGGGGGGAGTTTGGAGGGCATGATGCCTGAGCTGGGCATTCTGTTGAGATGATCATTTGTTTCCCCATAGAATCCCCTGGGGCCTCAAACCTGAAGATCTCACGAATGGACAAGACAGCAGGATCTGTTCGGGGTGGGGATGAAGTTTATCTTCTCTGTGACAAGGTGCAGAAAGGTGAGACCAGAGCCAGGGACTAGGACACCCAGCAAAAAGGAGGACGCCATGGGCCTCAGCTGGGCCCCAGGGATGCCAGGGGGCTGTGCTCGCAGCCAACTGAGGCTTTGGACAGGGCTGTAAGGAAAGAGGGACAAAGGGAGCAAGGCCTGGGTTGGAAGCTTTGTACAGAGCAGGATTCTTCCTTCTCACCACCCCCCCTCCCCTCCCCCCAGATGACATCGAAGTCCGGTTCTATGAGGATGATGAGAATGGCTGGCAGGCCTTTGGAGATTTCTCTCCCACAGATGTTCACAAACAGGTATCTTCGCCTAGAAAGGGGATGGCGTGGGCTAGGCGGGGGTTTGCAGGCCATGCTGAGAGCCTGTGTCTCCCTCCCTCAGTATGCTATTGTGTTCCGGACACCGCCTTATCATAAGATGAAGATTGAGCGTCCAGTGACCGTCTTTTTGCAGCTAAAGAGGAAACGAGGAGGGGATGTTTCTGACTCCAAACAATTTACCTACTACCCCATGGTGGAAGGTAGGACCCAGGAGGGGCTCAAGGAGCAGAGGCTGCTTGGGGTTAGGGCTGAAGAGAGTCACAGTGACCTTGACTTCCCCCTTCACCCCCAGACAAGGAGGAGGTTCAGCGAAAGCGGAGGAAGGCCCTACCTGCCTTTTCCCAGCATTTTGGAGATGGCTCCCACATGGGTGGGGCTGGAGGGGGTTCAGCTGGAGGCTATGGAAATGGAGGAGGAGGTGAGAAGGGCCAGAGGATTCTGGGGAGGAGGATGTCCTATAAGGGAGGGGGCACATGAGTCCACATATGGGCCGAGAAGGGGTAGGCTCCTGGCATCAGGTGTGGGAAAAGGAAGTTTGGGGAGGGGGCCGTCCTGTGGCCATTTTCCCAGGGTTCATAACTGCCCCATCCCCCTAGTGACCATTCCTCTCAAAGTCCCTGCCCAGACTCTCCCTCCACTGCCCGTCCCCTCAGATTGCCCATCACCCCCTGACTGACACACACTGACAATCTGCCTTCTCCCCTCCAGGTGGGGGTCTCAGCTTCTTTTCCACCTCCTCCCTGAACTACAGCCTGTACTCTCCTGGGGCTGCCCCAGTGGGCAGTTATTCTGGTGGGGCAGGAGTCCAGATGTCTGGAGAGAGTGAGGGCACAACCAATGGTGAGGGGGAAAAGCAGACACACCCGGATTCCCCTGGTCGTCCCCCACCCCACGGACCCCAGGCCTTAAAGATGCTACGGGAAGGTATGACTCCCCGTCCCCACACACACACTACAGGAGGAGGGGGTGTGGAGGACCAGGGACTTGGATATCACATTGCACAGGGATGGATGGGCACAATGCCCACCCTCCATTTCCATGACCTTACCCTGCTTTCCTCCCCTTCCCAACCAGCCCGGCAATACAACCTACGCATGTTTGGGCTTGCCCAGCGCAGTGCCCGGGCCTTGCTGGACTACGGGGTTACAGCTGATGCCCGAACCCTTCTGGCTGGGCAGTGTCACCTGCTGAGGGCCCAGGATGAGAATGGAGACACGTATGAAGCCAGGGCAGACAGGGGAATGGGAATGGGCCAGGGAAACGTTAGAGGTGGGGTTGGAGCAGGGACAGATTAGGACAAGGTTGGGAAGCTGGAGATTGGGTTTTAGGCAGGAGTTTAGCAGACTGCGACTGGAATTGGGACTGAGCAGGAGTCAGGGTGGCAGGTGGGGGTGGGGGAGGATCGGTGGCTAATTCAAGACAAGATTGTGGTTGGCCTGGGCTGCAGAACCAGATTCTCCAGCTCCCTTGCTCTATCCATCAGGCCTCTACACTTGGCCATTATTCACGGACAGACAAGTGTCATCGAGCAGATGGCTCATGTCATCTTCCAAGTCCCCCACCTTGGCATCGTCAACCTCACCAACCACTTGAACCAGGTATGCCCAGCACTGGGCAGGGAAGAGTGGTGTGTGGCAAGGGTGATCCTCCCTACACTTGGAGGTGTGCCCTAACTTACTCTTATGTTCCCAGACACCTCTTCACCTGGCTGTGATCACAGGGCAGAGCCAAGTGGTCAGCTTCTTATTGGACATGGGTGCTGACCCGACCCTGCTGGACCGGCATGGAGATTCTGCCCTCCACCTGGCGCTACGGGCAGCCAATCCTGGTCTCCTGCAGGCCCTCCTTTGCCATGTAGGGCCCGCCCTTCCCCAGTTGCTACTCATGCCTGATTATGAGGGTAATACCCCACCCCTAACCCTGTCGAGGGATCCCTGGAACGTTGGGATGGGGTGAAGGGGATCCTTCACCCCAGCTGGTGGGGAAAAGAGCAGCATGATAACTGGTCTATTGGAGGCAGGGGAGAAGGATTCTGTATGTCATTTGGGGAAAAGGGCCAGGGCTCACCATGCCAGGCTGGAAGGGAACAGACCTCTGTACCTCCTGGGGCAAGAAGCAGGCGCTTTCTGTGAGTGGCTGGGGTCCATCCCAGGATTCAGATCCTGAGTCATGCCCATCCCACAGGTCTATACCCAGTGCACCTGGCAGTGCGTGCCCATAGCCCAGAGTGCTTGGACCTGCTAGTAGGCAGCGGGGCCGACGTGGAGCTAGCGGAACGGCAAGGTGGGCGCACTGCCTTACACCTGGCAACAGAGTCAGAGGAGCTGGGGCTGGTTAGCCACCTCATCACCAAGGTCAGTCAGTCAGTCTGTTACCAAGCATTGATGAAGGACTTTGTGCCCAGCATTTCACTAAGCACTGTAGACACACAGAAAGGTCCCTGCCTTCAAGGAGCTTCCATTCTAATGGGGAGGGAGCTGCAAGGTGCAAACTGGAGGTGACCTCAGAGGGGAGGCACCAGCATTAAGTGGGCCAGGGGAAGACTTCCTGTAGAAAGTGGGATTTGCAGGAAGCCAGGGAAGGGAAGCAGAAGGTAGAGATGAGGAGGGAGAGCTTTCTAGGCATGGGGGACAGCCAGAGAAAACTCCTGGAGTTGGGACGTAGAGTGTCCTGAGGGAGGAATGGCAAGCAGACCAGAGTCATTGGATAGTAGTGTGTGGAGGCCAGTACATCGTAAGAAGACTGGACAGGTAGGAAGGGGCCATGTTATGAAAGTGTTAGTTTGGAGTCAAAGAACCTATGTTCAAATTCCACACTGCTACTTACTACCTATGTGATCTTGGGCAAGTCACTTGAGGCAATTAGTAGCACAGTGAATAAATAGTTGGGCTTGGAGTCAGGAAGACCCGAGTTCGAATCGATACTTGCTAGCTGTGTGACCTTGGACAAGTCCCTTAATCTGTCTCAGTCTCAGTTTCCTCATATGTATAAAATGAGGACCTTGAAATAAACACCCTCCGTGGTCCCTTAGAGCACCTCATCTTATGAGCTCACGTATGACTCTTGGATCTTGGCCTCTAGGGGTGTACGGGAGGGGGCAGATAGTGTAAACCTCAACTGTTCTTCCTCTCGCCAGCTTGGTGCCAATGTGAATGCCCAGACTTTTGCTGGAAACACACCCTTGCACCTGGCAGCTGGCCTGGGCTCCCCCACCCTCACCCGCCTGCTACTCAAAGCTGGTGAGTACCCTTGACCCCACCGCCCCAAAAACTGCTCCTGGCCAGTTTCTCCCTGGACTCCCTTTTTAATCCTGACCTCCCCTTGTGGGGACAGATGCATTTCCTGGCCTTGGGGGCCACAGGGCTCCTCCTGTGCCCCTCCTGACTATGCCCTCTCTGCCAGGAGCCGATGTACAGGCTGAGAATGAAGAGCCCCTCTGCCCACTGCCTTCACCCCCAAACTCAGGCAGCGACTCAGAGTCAGATGGGGCTGAGGAAGGAAATGGAAGGAAATATCGTGGTCACACACCCCTAGACCTGACCCGCAGTGCTAAGGTACAACCTGCAAGGGCACAGATGTTTGAGGGGCAGGCAGGTGGGTTTGGGATGTACAGTGGCATTTGAGATACCACCTACTTTAGGTTAGGACCCTGCTGCTGAAGGCTGCTCAGGAGACCACAGAGCCACCTCTGACTCCCCCAAGCCCTACAGGTAAGACCCATGCTCCCCATCCTCCAAACCTTTCTTCTCACCCCAAGGATGGGAAGGGGTGTAAGGGCCCAACCTTGTGCCAGGCCTTCCCTCCCCACCTCCTCTGCCCTGACAGCCATGTGACCGGGTCACTGGCAGTGTGTCTGTCTACCGCAGGCCCTGGACTGTCCCTGGGGACCGCAACCTTGCAGGGCCTGGAGCGGCTGTTGGACGGACCAGGTGGCGGGGGAGATTGGGCTGAACTAGCAGAGAGGCTGGGGCTGCGCAGCCTGGTGGACACGTATCGCAGTACGGCCTCCCCTAGCGGCAGCCTGATTCGGAGCTACCAGGTCAGTGTGGGGGCTCTGGCACCCTGACCCCTGCCCTCCCATCCCCTCCGTGATCCCGCCCCCAAATTCTCTTTCCCTTTCCCTCTCTCCATAGCTGGCTGGAGGAGACTTGGCAGGCTTGTTAGATGCTCTGGCCGCCATGGGACTGGATGAGGGTGTGCGGCTACTGCAGGGAACAGAGCCCAGAGACAAGCTTCCGAGCACAGGTAAGAAGCAAAAGGGGAAATGGGCAAAGGAGTCAAAGCTGGGGAGATTTGGGGGAGATTCTAGGAGTTACTTGGGGGCCACTGACTCTAAACTTGTGTGAGGTCTGCTTACAGATGGGATCCCAGGGCAGTAAGCACTGTGATGGTCTTAGGGGGCTAACTCTGTCTGGGGGGTTCTAGGTTCTGTGGTCTGGGCTGGCTTTGGGGGAGACACTAGACCCTCACCCTTTTTCCTCTTTCCCTCCCCAGAGGTGAAGGAGGACAGTGCCTATGGCAGCCAGTCAGTGGAGGAGGAACAGGAGAAGATGAGCATGGTACCTATGACTCCTGGGGAGCTCACCCACAGGCACCCCGAGGAGCAGGTGCACTGATGCCAACCACGCCCACAGCATGGGCGACGCTTTGTCCGGCCCTGTGCCTGCCCCTGGAGGCGCCCGCTGTACAGATACCCCCACCTGTGCCCGCGCCCTTATTTAATGCCCTGATTGGTCCTTTGGTTCTGATGAATAAAGGTATGTGGGGGCTGGGGACCCAACCACCCCACCCTAGGACACAGGCTTAAATTCTCTGTTCTCATCCCCCACCTCATGCATCACGTGACATGTCCATAGCAGCTCCATGGAGGCACTGCCATATGGACACAGGAAAGAGTCAGGACGTAGCCGGGGGCTCCAGAGCAGGTTTTAATTGTGTCAGGGACTATACAGAAGGTGGGCTTGGGAGTGGTGAAGGTACCAGAAGAGGGGCTTTGGGGTCACTGCCCTTCCCCCAGCACCCCTGCCATAGGTCTTATGTACAGGGGGCATTGAGGCCCTGCCAGAAACTGCATTATCATCTGGGGGCCCTGTGTCCACCCCACCCCATTCCAGCTCCAGGATGAGAGAAAGCCCTTGTGGGTAAGAGAGAGAGAAAGAGAGAGAGAGAGAGAGAGAGAGAGAGAGAGAGAGAGAGAGAGAGAGAGGGAGAAAGAGGGGGGGGAGAGGAGAGGAGAGAGAAGAGGAGCGGAGGCAGGGAGAGAGAGAGAGAAAGAGAGGAGAAAAGAGGAAAGGAGAGAAGAGAAGAGAGGAAGAGAGGAAGAGAAGAGGAGAGAAAACCAGCTCGGCCTACAGCTGAGGGCCCAGAGAGACAGGAAAGCCTGAGAGACTCAGGCCTCCCATACCCCTGGGGATGCCCACCATCCCCCCAGGACAAGGCCCGAGACAGGGGGGATTGCTGGTGTCTGGGAGAGGGATCCAGGAGGCCCAAATAGAAAGCAGGAAAGTGGGGCCCCCCAGCATGTGCCCTCCCCCCCAAAAAATGTCATTGAAAGGTCCCTCCCTCAACCCTCCCACCACTGAATAAGAAAAAGTGCAAAATGGTATCACAAAATGGGGAGCCTGGTGGATGGCCTCAGCCTCTGGGGCTTAGCTTGGGCAGTGTCCACGGTGCCTTCGGGGCCCCGCGTCCGGCGCAGTCAGGCCCTGGCTGGGGCAGGGTCAGAGGTCATGCAGGTGGCCGGCTGGCGGTCGCTGTCCCCTCCCTCCTGGCCCCTACCCACGGGTCAGGGTTTCTGCCGCCCACTGCCCCCTACCCGGGGTTCAGGACCAGAGCGGTGTGGCCTGGTGTGTGGAGGTGGCTCGGGCTGCAGAGTGGGGCTGGAGCAGGATGCAGGGAGCCCATCTTCAATGACCCCTGGCACAGCCTGGCACAGCACAGCCTCCACGGCCTCCAGCTCCTCACTGCCCGCCTTCAGCTTCGCTCGTAGCAGTGCTGCATAGGTGCCGTAGCGAGATTTCTGAGAGAGGAATAGAGAACGGGGAGATGGGCGTGTGAGAACCACCCCTCAGTTCCCCGGCCCCAGGAGGATGTCAGAGCCTGGGGCCCATTGCTGCTCATGACCGGCTCTCCGGAGCCTCACCAAAGCTAGCTCTGGGTTGTATCTAAGGGCCCAGGACTGAGGCCATTCAAGAGACCTCACAGTCATCTCAGGGGCTTAAGCCCAAGTGACTGGACATGTTGAGGGCTGCGTCTAAAGGGTGAGAGCCATGCATCGTTTGTAGGGAGCTGGGGGCTGGGCTAAAGTCCCACAGAATGTCCCTTAGAAGCCATAAAGCCCAATCCTCTCATCTTGCCCATGAGGAAACTGAGGCACAGAGTTCAAATCTGCCTGCGTTCACATAGCTCCCTGCACACAGGGCTGTCTCTGCACACAGCAAATGCTCAATAACTCCCCACCAAACTGAACTGAGAGGGGTTGGGGTTGGAGGAGGTGGGCTAGGGTTAGGCCCTGTGCAACTCTGGGTCTGTGGGGCTCCTTCGGGGTGGGGGGAAGAGGATCACTGAGGTGTTCAGTCTCCCCACACCTCAAATTCCAGGTAGGCTTCCTTCTGCCGCTGTTCCTCGGCCTCCTTGCTCTTCCCTTTCCTGTCTGGCTGCTGCTGGTGAGCCCTGTGCTCTCGAAGCTCGGACACCATGGCCCTCAGTTTGGCTTCGTGCGTCCTCACCTGCTCCTCCTGCCCGGGGGAGGGGAAGGACCACTGGTATCGGTGGGGCCCCCACATCCTCCCACCGTCCCACATCCCTCAGGGCAGAGAGAGCAGATGGGGGCATTCTTAGATGGAAAATGTCTAGATCGGGGTATTTCCTAGAAGACTATAGAATTTAGAGCTGGACGGGGTGTTGAGGTCAAGTCCAAAACCCCCTTGTTTTAGGAAATGAGACCTGGGGAGAGGAAGAGGCCTCCACCCAAGGGGAGGGTCATGACACAGGCAGGGTTCAAACCTTGGGGTCCTTGGACTCCAAATCCAGTTCTCTCCTCCGAGGGGAGGAAGTCAGGGGAGGAGAGGGCATTACCTGGGAGAGGCGGGTAGCAGAACTGGGCAGCAGAGGACGACTGAATTTCTTTTGAGAACTGATGGCAGCTGGAAAAGGTGGGGCAGAGAACATGGCCGCCACAACATTGATGCGGGTGATCCAGGAATGCATCTGCTCCAAGCTCCTAGGTGGGGACAGGTGTCTAAGGCCCATGTAGGAGGCCACCCTCGCCACTTCTTTCCAATCTGGGGGCTGCGCTGACACAGCAGCGGAAAGGACTCCGAGCCTGGCCAGGGTCAGGTCTCTTGGGTCTGGGGGCTCTAGACTGGATGTGACTAGGTCTAGGGCTGTGACTCACTGTGCCTGGAAAAGGAAAACCCGCCAGTCTGCCGTGCGCAGGTAGAACACGTGAGGCCTCTTGCTGTAGTCACTGGCGCGAGTGGCCAGGGCGTGGTGGATGCTGATGGCGTTTTTCAGTTCTTCCTCCACCAGAGCTGTGCCTGGCTGGTACTCCTCCTGCCAATGCAGACAGCCATACCCAGGCACGGACGCAGCTCAGGCCTGCCCCAGGCCCTGCCCCATCATCACCCAGTGATCTGGCTTTCTCACTCTGTATCCTCCAGGGCAAGGGTCAGGGATGATGGATGCACTGAGAAACCCCAACCAGGCCCAGCCCTTCCCCTGCCCTCCCCTCCCCTGGTTCCTCCCCATTCCCTGGCACCTTCTGTAGGTAGAGGATCATCCCCTTCAGAATGCCATGGAAAGCCTTCCAGCCACGCTTCCCCCGGGGTGCTGGGGGGAGGGTTAGGAGGGACAGATTCACAGATATGGCCATGGAAGAGGAGAGTGACACCCCCCCCCCATCCTGTTCCCACCTCATTCAGCTCAACTGGCTGAAATCCAGAAAAAGGACCCCGCGGGGGATGTGGGTATCCCCACCCTCGTCCCAGTGTTCTCCCCCCTCCTCACAATGGAGATCACTGCCCACTCCTCTCCCGCTCTCCCCCCCTCCCCACGTACTCTTCCTGCAGTCAGGGTCCGCGTGCACCTTGCGCACCAGGGGGCCATGTTTGTAAATGGCAGCACCAGGCTCTGGCGACAGGTCCAGGAAAGGGCTGGAGCCACCACCACTGCCACCACTGACCCTCTTGATGACCTTGGGGTTTGGGTCAGCCAGTTCAGACAGGGAGCGGCGGAGTTCCTCTTCATCACTGCAGGACAGTTGGCTCAGTCTGGGAAGTATTTCTTTGGAACACCCCACCACCTTCCAGCCTCCCTGAGTTCTTGCCAGCTCCAGCTATGAGCTTTCTCCCCTAGGACCACTCTTAGCCAAGGCTTCTCCCTTAAACCAGAGACTATCTGAGGGCAGGGCTGAGCCTCCCTCATTAAACCTGAAACCATAAAACCTTACTGCTTATAGAACAAGGCCTCACACATAGAGACTGTGCTCAAGAAATCTCTGTTGAATAAATCAATGGCTGGACTATGGCAAGAGCTTAGTTGTGGATTCCCCAGCTTTAGTCTTTCTCTCTCCAAATCACCCTGCACAAATGGATTGAGTCATCTTAAAACAGTTTGTCACTCTCCTACTCAAGACTGTTCAATGGCTCTCTGATGCTTGTTACATCAAGTCCAAACTTCTCTGACATTTGAAGCCCTCTACAAGCTGACGACCGACCCAGTTCATACCCACCATGCCAATTACCATCTCCCTGGGAACCATACTGAAGAATTTGGGTACAACCATCAAGTCGCCTACTCATCCTTTACCAAGATGGAAAGGGAAACACTTAGCAACAGTCTAAGGATTCAGTTACGTCCACTGAGGGCCCGTTCGGTGTTTTCAAATACTGTGCATCCTCACTACTGCTGGAGACCTTTTTTGATGATGAAGGAGCAGAAGGGACAGGCGCAGCATCCTTGTATCCCCTATGACTGACTGACCAAGCTGTCACTGGACATTAGTTCAGTCAGCAACACCAATTAAAACGATTAAATCTACAGCTCTGCCAACCAATGACAACACAGGAAGACTAAAGGATTCCAGTCAGGGCCTCCTCCTCTTGTTCTCTTTCTTCCTATCAGAGAAGGAGGCAGCTAAGGAAGAAGGAAGAAACAATCTGACGTTCGGCAATTTCCATCTGGGGTCTAGAACAACCAGCAAGAGATGTTGGGGACAGGAAGAAGGAAAGAGAGTAGTGGTCTCTGGCCCCTTTAGATGAGAATATGGACTTTAGACACGTCTCATTTATGGGATCCGTAACTGCTTTTTGGCCCCATTAGTACAAAATTCTTCCATTTTGATCCCTTTCCTTGTCTCTTTTTACACTTTTTTCTTGTCTCTCTGAAGGCCAGCCCTCCTCCTCCAGGTATCCAAAAGTAACATCTTTCAAGACAAAGCTCGAAACTCCTCTCTGGGAACACTAGGAAAACTCATGGTCACCCTGGCTTATAGTGAGCTTTTATTCCCCTGAACTCACAGTTACTGACTTCACCACATAATTGAGCAAACTCAACTAGTTTATTCTTTACTGGATCCATGTTCATTCTTTCCCTCAACAAATGTTTACTATGTAGTAATTATGTAGAGGAGAAGGGAGTTCAGAGAAGTAGAAAGGACAGTCCTAGCAAGATTAATATCAAGCAAATCAGAATATAGTACTTAAAACAATAAAAAGAAAGAGATTGCTTCCATCTGGGCCAAATCAGGGAAGGCTTCATGGAAGAAGTGTCATTTTAGGTGGAACTTGAAGGATGGTA